TAGACCCAGAAGAGGCTCTGGGCTCCTTGCTTTGGATTAGCTCAGCTCCAGTCATTTTGGCCACCTGGGGTTTGGACCAGCAGACAGAGGATCTCTCTCTGTATTTCCTTCTCTCTCTCTGAATCTGCCTTTCCAATACATTTCTTTTTAATAATATGTGTACACAATATTTGGTAGTAAAAAGGAGTGAAACAGTAATTCATACGACAGCATATATCAACCTTAAAACACTATATAAGATTTAAAAAAAAAACTGTCAACAATTACACAGAACCAGCGTGGTAGCCTAGCGGCTTAAGTCCTCACCTTGCACATGCTGGGATCCCATATGGCTGCCAGTTCATGTTCTAGTGGCCTACTTCCCAACCAGCTCTCTGCTTCTGACCTGGGAAAGCAGTAGAGGACAGCTCAGAGCCTTGGGACCCTGCACCTGCATAGGTAACCTGGAAGAGGCTTCTGTCTCCTGACTTCAGATGGACTCAGCTCCAGCCATTGTAGCCATTTGGGGAGTGAATCAGGATAGAAGATCTTTCTATCTCTCTCTCCTATTCTCTATATCTGGCTTTCCAATAAACAAAAATCTAAAAAAAAAAAAAAACCCTATATATAGCATTAATGCATCTGTAAAAATGTCCAGAATAGTGGCTAGCAAGGGTGGTGTAGCTGCTTATTCCCCCACCTGCAGCACCAATATCCTATGTGGGAGTAAATTCAAGTTCCAGCCGCTCCACTTGCAATCCAGCTCTCTGCTGGTGGCTTGGAAAGCAGCAGAGGATGGCCCAAGGCTTAGACCACTGCACTCTTGTGGGAGACCTGGAAGAAGGTCCTGCCTCTCAGTTTGGGACTGGCCCAGCTCTGGCCATTGTGGCCATTTGGAGAATGTTCCAGTGGATGGAAGCGCTCTCCCTCTCTCTGTAACTCTGACTTTCAAATGAAGTTAAGTCTTAAAAAAAAAAAAAAAAGTCCAGAATAGGCATATCACATCTGTAAGTAGATTAGTGATGCCTTGGTCTGGGAAGGTGCAGGGGAGGAAGAGAATAAATGATTTTTATAGGGTTTTAAAGTTTCTCTGGTGGGCTATGAAGATGTTCTAAAGTTGACTGTAGTGAAGACTGTATAATTCCATCATACTAAAATAGATTGAATTTTATAACTTAGATGGGGAATTTTGTGGTAAATGCAACTTACAATTCAGGAATTTTTTTTAAATTAACACTTCTAAAAGAAGCAATCTTGACAAATATTAGTATACACAAGCCAACCACCTTTTACCAGTAACCACTTAAATTTTTTATATCCTTCTAGGGTTTCTTCGTAGAGTCTTAATTTTTTTTTATTCCCCGCTTCTTTCATAAAACTTGTACTGTTCCACACTTTCCTCATTTCATTTAATATGTCCTTGGAGAGCTTTCCATATAATTATTTAGAAAATACCCTAATTCTTATTGGTAGTTTCATCATTTTCTCTTGTGTAAATATATCCATTTATTTAACTAGTTCTCCACTGATGCACATTTACGGTTATTTCCAACCATTTGCTCTTAGCAGCAATGATCTGCTCTTTTCCTTTAACTTGGTGTCAGCCAGTGATTTTCTGTCCCTGGACAGACAGGAACCAGAGTCTACCAGTAAGAACTACTGCAGAGCAAGTCAGAGCTAGATATGCAATCTGGACTATGATGCTACTGGTAAAATTACTTGTAACTTCTGAACCCTACTTTCCTCACTTGCATGCATAAAATTTCTCACCTACAAGCATCATTGGGATGCTTTTAGAGTTAAATAAGATAAATTTAAGACAGTTTGAGTATCATGAAACACAGTTGGGGCAGTCTTTGGGCACAGACATTAACACTGCTTTGGGACATTGCCATCTGATACCACAGTGCCTGGGCATGGTTCTGAGCTCTGCTTCTCACTTCTGCTAATGTAAGAAGCACCAGTGACAGCTCAAGTACTTGAGACTGCTACCCACATAGCAGACCTGGATTGCGTTCCAGGTTTCTGTCTTCAGCCTAGCCCAGCCCTGACTGTTGCGGGTACTGATAGAACAAATCAGCAAACAGAATATCTATCTATCTCTCTTTCTGTCTGTCTCACTCTTCCCTTCCCCTCTATCTCTTTGCTTTCAAACAAGTGAAGAAAAAATTACTTTCAAAAAAAAGCCTCATAAAGCTGGGAGGGAGGAAACAAAGACTGATTATGCATTACTAACACAGTAAACAGAGAAAGAATTCATGAATCCCAGCAAAAGATTTATTTTTATTTTAAAGTCAGATATACAGAGAGGAGGAGAGAGAGAGAGGAAGGTCTTCCACCTGATGATTCACTCCCCAAGGGGCCACAATGGGTGGAGCTGAGCCGATCTGAAGCCAAGAGCCCAGATCATCTTCTAGGTCTTCCAATGTGGGGCTGCAGGACCCCAGCAAAATTGTTTTAAAGTAACAGGAAAGAGGAGCTGAACGTTCATTGATATGATATGATAATATAAAAGAAAAAATGAGTACAAGGTTCATTGATATGATAATATAAAAGGAAAAATGAGTACAAAATAATCTTTTTGCAAATAACAATGGACATAGGCCAAAATTATCAATAGATATGAAAACTATTGGATGAAAGTTACTGAGGAAAAGGGCATTCAGACAATCTCATGTTATCACCTCACACATAATTTTATTAATTACATTAGAGAGCTCTGGACATACTATCCTAACCAAATAATCAAACTTCTCATCACTGTGATGGTACAGACTGATATGTGGAACTAATGATGCAAGAAGAGGGACATAACATCACATGCAGGAAATTCTTAGCACAAATGTTTAACCTGAGTCTAGTAACAAAAGAAAAAAGTTAGGGATTGAACTATGGCTAATGGGTTAGGCTGTCACCAATGGCCCCAACATCCCATAAGAGAGTCAGTTTATATATTTTGGCTCTTCCAATTTCAATCCAGCTCCATGCTACGGTGCCTGGAAAGGCAGCAGATGACCCAAGTCATTGGTTCTTCGTACCCACGTGGAAGTTCTGAATGAAGCTCCCAGTTCTTGGTTTCAGCCTAGCCCAATCTAGTCATCGTGGCCATGTAGGGAGTAAACCAATGTATGGAAGATCTCTGTATTCCCCTGCCTCCCCATTCTCTCTATAATTCTGATGTTCAAATAAATAAACAAATAAATCTTAAGAATTACACAAATTCAATACAAATCTACACAACAAACTTGGAAATTTGAAAAAATTCAACATCATAAAAGACAAAACAGAGATAACTGTGCTAACTCTAGAAGAGAACTCAAAGGGCAGTTATCTTGTGTAAGCAACTCCTGATTAGATTCTGCGTCAAATTTCTTTTAAAAGGTCATGAAGAAAATAAGGATCTAAAATGTAAAGAATATTGCAGTCGTATGGAAACACGCTAATGTGCTTAAAAGATACATTATAGGGACATCCACAACTTCCTCTCAAACAGTTTAGGGAGAAAGAATGTATAGGGGGTGGGGAGAGGGTATGCGAGTAGGAAAAGAAAGCATATGAATCTAATTATGGCTTCAGCTAACCCAACAGGTCTACGGAAAACTTTCCCCCTGTGCCTGCAGCTGAACCACGTGAAAATAAATGCCAGCAGCCAGTTAACTCTCAGAAACCTTGTACTTTCAATCAAAAGGCAAAGCAAAAACAAGAAGCAGTTGGGGAAGCCATATGGTTTTGGTTCCAGAAAACCATGAAGGGCCTGTATCAATAGTTGTTTTTTTTTTTTTTAAGCTGGTTAACTTCAAAAACATAACAACTCTTCTTATCTAAGAATTGCTTCTTTACTTGTATGAGGAAAGATGAACCTAAAATCTACTGCCTAGGGTTGAGAAAAAGAGACAGCAAGCACAATGCACTTTTACTGAATGTTCTCTTTAAAGATATTAAAGTCACTAGTCCCAGAAGGAAAGTAGGAAAGAAAGAAGCTCCGCAATGGAGCTTTGTTTTCCTATCAGATACCCAGTATACTTATCAGAACACCTAAGTATACTTAGCATATGCACTAAGCCTTGGTTAACAAGGTAACAACAAAACATTATGAGATAGAAGTCCTTTTAATTCCCCCATTCCAGTGTGGTTGTGAGACTCAGATGCAGAGGGAGTAAGAAAAGGTTGATTTCCTGTCATGACTGAGAGTGTCCACATTTTAATGAAGTTAACCATAACTCAAAAATAAAATTTTTCTGCAGAATTTTCTGGGAAAAAGTACTGGTTGCTTTCTTGTTTCAGTTTTTTTTTTTTTTAATAAATTGATTTTTTAAAAAAGATGTATTTATTTTTATTGGAAAGCCAGGGGAGAAGGGGAGGAGAGATAGAGAAAAAGATCTTCCATCTGATGATTCACTCCCCAGGTGACTGCAATGGCCAGTGCCATGCCGATTCGAAGCCAGAAGCCAGGAACTTCCTCCAGGTCTCCCACACAGATGCAGGGTCCCAAGGCTTTGGGCCATCCTCTACTACCTTCCCAGGCCACAAGCAAGGAGCTGGATGGGAAGCAGGGCCACCAGGATTAGAACTGACAACCATATGGGATCCAGAGCATGTGCAAGGCAAGGACCTTAACCACTAAGCCATAGTGCCAGGTCCGACTAACCTTTCAAACCCGTATCCTCACCTTTCTTCCCATGGTTCTTTTAAAGATTTTAAAGATTTATTTACTTGTTTCAAAGGCAGAGTAACAGAGGAAAAGGAGAGAGCGAGTATTCCATCTGCTCGTTCACTCTCCAAATGACTACAACTGCGAAAGCTGGGCCAATATGGATTGGTGGCTTAGCTTGCAGAACCAACCCTTCCCATTGTATTTTTTGAGGATGTGTGCAAACTTTATTGCAGCTGTGAAATCATAATTTGAGGAATGTAGAATTCCAGGAACACTTTCTAGTTTCTAATGCTAACATTGCTGACATTTGTGTACATTTCCATACACTGTGCATCAATGACAGAGGAAAGCAAAGCAGCATTAACATTTAGTCTGCCACATCTGTTACGGGCCAGATCCTGAAAGGCTTTGAATCACACGCCAGGTAGAAATATGGCCTCAGCACCTCAAACAATTTGTCCATGAAATAATAGATATAAGACCTGGCACTTAAATTGTAGAAGGAAATCTCACCCAAACTGTAGTCCAGAAAAATGCCAACCTGTGAGGGCTTTTCCCTCAGCCGAAGGGTGACTGGCCTAGCACCCCAAGCCATGTACTCACCATGGTGCATTTGAATTGCCCGACAGGGATTTTGGGGACTGATTTTTCCTTCTGCGAAGAGATTCTGCACAACCCCCCACAGCCCATGTGGATTTAGTGCCCACTTGGACCTCCTGGTAATGCCGGCCAGAACTGATGCCCTCAAAACCCAGAGCCGTTGGAGACAGGGTACACCTCTTGGGATTGGGAGGCACACGTTTCTGATTCTCTATAAATGTCACACACTTACTATCCTCCAAGACAAGCAGATTGGAGTGTGCAGTTTCAGAATCGAGTAACGACTTCCTTCAATTTCTGTGTTATTTTCTACAGAGCTAGACATGGTAGGGCACAAGAAAGCTCTTGTTGTCCTTGTTTGGAGTGGGTGCAGAGCCAAGGCTTCAGGTTTGCACACCTGTAGAGGATGCCCTTGATACTCATCAGTAGTTCCACTTCTGACATCACACTCTTCTCGGCAAGCTCCATGAGCAGACATGTGAGTGTGGAAATGTGATCTACAAAGGCCCTCACGTCTTCATCACATTTGTGTTTGAGGTAATTCTTGCCTTCATCTGCCTTTGAGAGAAGTGTCTCTTACAAATGTGCTATAAGCTGGCCCAAACACTCAAATTCAGAGAGTAATCAGTGTTTGCTGATTTCCATCTTGTCTCTTGCTTTTCATAACTTTTTCTTCCAGATAGCTAACAGTTTCTGAAACTCTGCCACTTGCCTTTTTTTAAATTTATTTTTCTTTTTTAAAATTGTAAAATCAGATATACAGAGAGGAGGAAAGACAGAGAGGAAGATCTTCTGTCCAGTTGATTCACTCCCCAAGTGACTGTAACAGCCTGTGCTGTGCTGACCCGAAGCCAGGAGCCAGGAACTTCCTCCAGGACTCCCACACGGGTGCAGGGTCCCAAGGCTTTGGATGGTCCTCGACTGCTTTCCCAGGCCACAAGCAGGGAGCTGGATGGGAAGTGGAGCAGCTGGGATTAGAACCGGCACCTATATGGGATCCTGGCGCATTCAAAGCAAGGACTTTAGCCACCAGGCCACTGCGCCAGGCCCACTACTTGCCTCTTGAGGGGCTTGATGCACCTGTAGATCTGAGCCCTGTGTTCAGAGGCCGCCTCAGTAATGGGCCTTACACAGTGGCCTTTTTGCTCAGCAGGCCAAGAACAATGGAGACACAACAACTCCAGGTCCTCCTCACAGACGGGGGTCAACACCAAGTTGTGCTTCTCGCACAAAGGTGATTCTCCCTGACTCTCTGCCTTGCTCCTAGATGCAGCATCCTGGCAATATCTATCACCCTTCCCAGCTGGCTCTTGCTTGTGACCAATCCCTCTCTGCACTGGTAACGACAGATAGGGCAAGGGAAGCTATCCTGTTGATGAGACCATGTCTCCTTGATGCAGGAATGACAAAAGTTACGTTCACACCCAAGGGTGATGGAGATCTTCAGATCGTTGAGACAGACGGGGCACTTCACTGCTTTCCACAGTGCATCCAGGGTGGCTGCCTCTGCCATCTGGTCTTGAGGGCAAGGATGGGCCGCACTGTGCTGTCTTGAGGAGTGGCTGTGAAGATGACCTCTGGTGGGAAGCAGGGTCGCTCTTGGATCTCACTGTCTTCTGTCCTAAAGATCTTCTTGTCTATTAAGGGCAGCCTTGATATCCTACAAGGCAGAAATCGGTGTCCAGAGGCCTTGACTGCCACCTGTAGTTGGTTACAGACCAGTTCAGCAACCTGTGGCATGGACCGACATGAGGCAGCCAAGCTCAGTACTTCCGCAGCAGGTAGTATGGGAGGTTCCCCGTGAGTCTGCCAGAGTTCTGCGCAGTATGCCGCAGTGGGTCCCCCATTGTATTCTGAACATGAAATTCTGTCAGAAATCTTTTTCTGCCTTACCCTAAACACCTCCCTCTAGAATACTGACTCACTTCTTCAATTCTCTTGAAATGTCACTTCCTACAGAAGACATTCCCTGACTTCTCCAGATCAGGGGACACCATAAAGCTCTTCTACCCCACTTTGTAGTAATGCCCCTTTGAACAAGCATCAGTTCAATAATTATCTTCCCTGCTAGAGTATAAGCAATATGAGGGCACGAACAGCATTTCTTCTCCCTAGTGTATCCTACTTAGCATATACTAGGCTGCTTCATTCTTATTTCAAGGTTAGAATAATAGGTCAGGGCCAGATGATAGAGGGTTATAATGTCAGGCAAGAAAACTACAGGGCAAAGTTTATTATCTCTTTGTAAACATGTAAGCGGAGGCAGAAAGGAATATATGTATTTTTATTTCAAGAGATATGTCATAGAGATGGCAGAGATGAGGTCACATTTAACGCTTTATTTCTCCTCTCTAAAACATCAACAACCCTCAGCGGATGAGAGCATTTTAGAAGACTCAGAATGAGAAGGCGGCCCAGAGCAGTCTAGCGTGACAGCTCCTGAATCACCTGTCATACTAGCTGCCTTCAGAAGGACAGCAGGTAACTTTCCCACCACTCACGAAGCAATGTTGTTAAGCAAAGAAATATAACCACCACCATACCCTGCCCCTTAGGAGAAATATATGCAGGGGCCAGTGCTATGGCACAGGTTAAGCTGCCACTGGCAGTGCCAATATCCCCTGTGGGTGCCAGTTTTAGTCCTGGCTGCTTCACTTCTGATCTGACTTCCTGCTAACGTGCCTGGAGAAGCAGCAGAGGATGGACCAAGTGCTTGGGCCCCTGCACCCATGGGGGAGACCCAAGGAAACTCCAGGCTTCTGCCTTTGGATCAGGCCAGCTTCTGCTGCTGTGACCATTTGGGGAGTGAACCAGTGGATGGAAGATTTCTCTTTGTCTCTCCTTCTCTCTGTAAACCGCCTTTCAAAGAAACAAAATAAATTGTTAAAAAAAAAAAAAAAAGAGTGTGTTATAAAATAACAAACTTTTTTCCTTCACAAAGGCTAAGAAATTACAGGAGAGAAGCTGCTACCCCTCCAAGCACCTTCAAACAAGCAAACAAATGGCCGATTTGGCCACCTGGATTGCAGCCAGCAATCAACAGGGAAGAGGGAAAGACAGTTTTCCCAGTACTCATGGGAGTAGAGATGGGGAGGTGGGGGGAAATATACATACATACATATGTGTTTATAAAAACTATATATATGTATATACATATTATACATATTATACACATATAATGAGGTGAAAGTCATTTAAAGGCACTTATTCTTTGGACCTTTCAAGAACCTCTCAAGCAAGGCGTTTTAAAACCTGGCCAACCCTCAGCAGTTCTTCACACAGGTGCTGGCGAAAGGAAAAGCGGCATGTGCTCCACTGCAACTCCATTGTCCACATGCTGCTGAGCCACATGACGTCTGTCACAGAGACCGCAAACTGAGCCGGGCGGCAGGCTCATTGCTGCTCATCCTGCCAGCACACACTCCTCCAAGAGCACTCTAAATAAACATTCACAGTCTACTGTCACCAGGCAGTTCCTGAGGGAGGTCATGGAGGGTGGGGAGAGGGACTGTTCAGAGCTTGGAAAGAGACTTGGAGAAAGAGATACAATGCATGGCTACAAGGGCAGGGGTTTGAAATAGAGGCAGCTGCACCTGGGGAGACAGAGAAAGAAGCTGAGATAATTTTACGAGATTTGGGTGGGGTAGGAGGAGGAAGAGAAAAGGCTGACGCCAGCAGGGCAGGGAACAGCAACAGAGCCCCACAGAGAAAGGCAAAGGCTGACTGTCCATCTTGTCCCAAATCCCGAAGCTGCTCATTCCATCCCCATAAATCACTCTACCACAAAGCCCCTGCAAAGCACTGTCCTTTGCTTTCAGGACCAAGCAGCTTGTAACAAAGTATCATCCAGCAGCAACTCTGGAGACCCAAGGGCCTGAATTTAAAATAAACAAAATTGGTCGAGCAAGGAAAGACAGCCAGTAAATGACTTTCTCAGCTACGATACACTTTAGCATTGTAGAGTTAAGCAAATAGTCTGGCATTTCATCCTTCTTTTGACATTCCAAGAGGGGGTGTGGTTGACCTCAGATCCATTCATTCCCAAGGTTGTAGATCTTCCAGCTAAGACTGGCCCCATCTGTTCTGGGGCTAGCCAGCTGTTTATCTCAAACTAACATATTTATTGCACTAATCATCTCATAAAACAAGAGGAGTACTAACATCAGACTAGCTCGAACGCTATCTTTCCTGCTCCACGTGTCAGTTCATTTAAAAACTAAAAACCAATGAAAACACAACACTACTATGTTCCTCGGTTTCCCAGGCCGGTATCACCCTTCCGAGGGTAGCTCTCAGTAATGCCAAATGAAGGTTAACGGGCGTTTTTAACTATCCTATTCCCTAACATGAACACAGCTTTCCCTAATCCAGCCCTTCTCCAAATCGCTACTCGTGAGTGGTGGCTGTGCCTCAGGAAAGAGCGGCTCTTTAGGGTACCACTCTCAGCAGCCAGGAGCCTACGGCAACGTAAAACACTCCCACAAGCACAAATCTACGTGCTCCAAACAATCCTGAATCCTACAGCCCCAGGGAACGGAAAACACTTCACCAAAACGTTGCTTGCAGCCGCCTCGGAGGACCTTCCCCAGACACGTGAAACATTTCTGACTGGCACCAAGCGCACCATGAAAGGACACTGTCACCTCAAGTCAGCAGAAAAGGCGAACCCAGCGACCCAGACCTGCACCTGGGCAATAAGTCCCCACAAAACTCAAGCTACTCGGAAGACGCAGACTCGTCTTCAAAAAGGAGCACAGTGTGCTCGCCCAAGCGACGGGGAAACGTTCTCAACTAGTGCGACCGCATTCAATCACTGTCTCCATGTCTCCCACGCATCACCCTCTTCCCACTCAAACCCCAGCCCTGGGGCCATCTGTGACAGGACTGCAGTCCCCCACCTCTGCCTCCCTCCGATTATCCAAGAGCGCTTCCCAACGTCCTTCGCAGCCCAACCTCCTTTCCCAGCCTCCACAAGGTTGAGAGGACTTGCGACTAGGGAATTGGCAGGCACCCCGTCCTCTGGCGGGGGACTGTGGCTGGAGTTGTTCTTTGCAGTGACCCAAATTGCACAGAGCTTTTCCCGTTGCAGTGCCTGGGAGCACCTCCCCAACGTGCCCTCTCCACCCCCCGCCTCTCTCCTTTCCCCACCATCTTTCCAAAAGAAAGCCTGGAGAAATAAGCGGGAGGAACAACTTGGTAGAATCATTTGAACAAATCACTTCAACTCACCTGGTTTGGGATTTTTCTCCCCACCCCAGGCATACACAGAAATGATGTGCCAATGAGTCACGCACGCGAGGGAAGGTGCTGCGATGTCCTAAGTCCAAGGGCTGGAGTCAGTCCTGGCCCTGGTGCTGCTGCTACTCTTAGCTCAGCTGGAGCGAACGGCAATCACAAGCAGCGGTAGGGGGGTGGATAGACCGTAGCACAATGAATGCAGTGGGGCTTTTGCAATGACATCATCCCTCTGCCCAAAAGGCCCCAATAGCCATGCTCTGGAGCGGAGCATTCTGGGAGTCGTAGTCTCCTGACATCCAGGTGGGACACCGAAGCCGCCGCCGGAACTACAATTCCCGAGATGCGCCAAGGGCCGACGCGCCCGGAGCGAAGGAGCGACAGGGCCTCGGCCGCCATGTTAGGAGTGCTGGGACGACTCCGCGGAAGCCGGCGGAGGTTTTAGGGAACGCGGGAGAGGAATGGTGAAGCAGTGGGGCCGGTGAGGTGGGGGACGGAAGCCGGCGGAGGTTTTAGGGAACGCGGGAGAGAAATGGTGAAGCATTGGGGCCGGTGAGGTGGGGGGACGAGCGACCGGAGAGCCTCGGAGGCACGAACCTGGGAGACCGCTCTGGGGAGTGATGTAGGGAGGCTCGGCTTGGCAGTGCGGTCCGGGAGATGGAGTGAGCCGAGGCCTTTCCGTCGTGTAGGGGCTGCTCTTGCTCCATTTTTAACTAAGGGGTTGAGGGAGCATCACTTAGGCCAGCAGGACAAGCGGGACGGTGGGTGTCTTTGTTGAGCTGTGGAGACCCGGGACGGCCCGCTTCAATCCACAGATCTGTGCTCGAGCTCCCAGAGTGGTTTCTATCTTGTGGTTTGTTTTCCAGCCTGCTTTCATCCTCCCCAAAGTTTCGGACCCTCACAGGTTTTTCATGCAGGAATGGTATGCAGAGGGTTCTCAAGCAGCCGTTTTGGGGGAAGATAGGCGAGCTGTAAAAGGACGTTTCCGTGACCGTATGGTTAGGTTAAGGAGCAACCCCGCGATTTAAGACTTAAAACCAGATGACACCACCGCCTCAAGCAGATAGTGAAAGAGGACTGCCAGTCGGTTCCGGTGTAGCTCTGGTGCTTGGATAAACCTAGGCTGTGTGCTCACTGGGATGGGTGGATCACTGGTCTATTTAGTGTTTCGTTTGGGATACTCATATGTAGTTAAAAACATTTTTCTCCAGTAGCTGAAGCCACCATTACTCTCCTTGTAAGCTCAAATGTGCTCTGCGTTTTCCCCCAATGTGTTAC